TCACATTAAGAATGGCACCATTGTTCCTGTTGAGATTACTTGCTCTCTACTTGAACGTGCCATGAAGGTAGTGAATGGAGTTCAGCTATTATTTTATGATACTGGATAGTTAAATGTAATTCCCTTGGACTGGAGACATTCATGAACCTGTAAGTTCTCATTTCAGTTAAAATTATGTAAAAACAATTATTATCTTTGTCTCATTTGCTGGTACAGGCCGAGGATCCTTTATCTGAACACCTTGGGACTACAGTAATTGTTTTTTTATTTTCATACGTTTTTGGATTCCTGGACCTTTTTATATTACTGTACAATAGTCTAAGCCTCGGGTAGCTTATACAAATGTGGATGCAGACCTTAATTTAAGATACAGGACATGTAATTTTACAGTAAACACGATTTGCTTAGTTATTCTTTATTACTTTAGGTATTAGTTATGTTTGATTTGATCCACTGAAGTAGGGCTGCAAAAAAAAAAGAAAAAAAGTAAATTTCAACAATGACATACAGGGGGACCCCCAAATTCGCAGGGGTTAGGTTCTCAAAATGGCCGCAAATAACATTTGCGGACCTGGGGGGGGGATACATTTATGTGTTTGCCCTTAGGACAATTATTTCTTTGACCTGTAGTATTGTATATGTGTATGTGTGTGCATAAAGACACACATAGGCACACAAAACACTTACAAATAAATAATAATTGAAAAATCCTCTCACAGATAATCAGAAAAAATTTATTCAAAATGTGACAGTCTACCCTCAAGTCTGTGCTCTATTAATAAAGTACATACTGTGATAGAGAATGGACTTGAGGGTAGACTGTCACATTTTTAATCAATTTGCTCCCTGTCTCAGCCACAAAAATGCCGGCAACTTTAAAATTACCCATAGACATTCTTGGGTACATCCAGGATGTCATCTGCGAATAACCGAGAACCGTGAAGTAAAAATCCTCAAACTTGGGGGTCCCCCTGTACTCACTAACACCACCTTTTCAAAACTTCAGGTGTTGGTAATGTTTGGATTGATGAACTGCTGTTATAATATTGTAGATAAAGCATTTAGTATATTTTGGTAATGATATTTTTACAGTACAGAAAACATAATTTTGCTTGAGTATTTTGGATCTTTTCACTTTTAGAATTTCAGATAAAGGATCTGTGACCTTTAATAACAGCTTAATAGATAAATTAAAATAACCTTACACAAGTTGTTCTAAATTGAGATAGGTATTAAACTATTAATGTGTTGTATTGGTCACACATGTAGTCATCCAATTCTTGATTATACAAGTTTCATCTAAGACTTAGCAGAGGAGGAAATACTTTGGATTTACAACATTAGCCATTTAAATGGGACTGATGGGAGCACTTTAAACTGTACAGTATTTGTAGTTTGGTTAACATGTTTCCCTTTATTGTTTGTTCATTTCTGTAATTTGGACATTCATTGATACTTAACTATTGAAGTTATCATCTGTAATTTAAGAACAAGTTTATTCAAGATGGTGGGGGTCACAGGACTTTATGGGATACACAAGATCATTTAAATGTCCCAGAAGTAAAAATACATTGGTGAAGGTCTGAGGGCCTTGCTAGTCAGTCTTGTTGTTATTTCATATTGTTCCACTTCAATGGCCCTCCCTGTACAGTAACATGTTTTATCAATACTGTACTGTATAAAATTTTTATTAATTTTATTTTATTTTTTTCATTTCAGGATTCAAAAAAGAATGAGTTTTTAATTGATGGTTTCCCACGTAACCAAGACAATCTTGAGGGCTGGAATAAGCAGATGGGAGATAAAGTAAACCTGAAATTTGTCCTGTTCTTCGAATGTCCTTTGAACGTAAGTTTCATTAACAAGTTTCAGACAGATACTGTATATCCTAAAGAATATTGATACCTGTAATAATTAAATGATGGATGATTATACTAATATACTTGTACTGGTTAGTTCTAATCAGTTATGACTAGCTGGGAAGAGAATTGGGAAAGAAAGTGATAGACAAAATGAATTAGGGAAAAGGTGCTGGTAACTGTGGAATAGTTACTGAAATGTTGAAAACTATGATGGGATGTTTTCTTCCAACTGACTAGCTGAAGAGCATAACTTTCGATGGTTACAAAGAAAATCAAGATGCATTTGAACATGGAAACTACAGGGGCTTGAAGCTTTAACAGATTATGAAAATTGTGGAAAGAGTGATTGAGAAATTGTAGTTTGGGAATTACAAGAGAAATATGTAGGGAAGGCAAGAAAGCTGGACTTTGTATCTGTAGTAAGAGAGAAAGCATATAACAACTTGTCAAGGTAACGCATGAGGCAGTGCAGTGGGCAATGAGAAAGTTAAGGATCAAGGAATGCCTTATTCAAGTGATTATAGCTTTGTATGAGAGCTATAGAGCTTCACTGAGAATAAATGGTAAAGAGAGTGATGAATTATTTGTGGTTAATGAAGAAGTCCATCAAGGGTCTGTCTCGAGTCTCCTTCTGTTTATCTTGGTGTTAGAGGCACTATCGTGAGCCTGTAGGACTGATCTTCCTTGGGAGTTGTTGTATGCTGATGACTTATCGTTGATACCAGGTAGTATCAAAGAGGTAGTGGAGAAATATAAGAATTGGAAGGATGAATGAAGTCAAAGGATAGGTGTAAACATGGTAAAAACAAAAGTAATGATTAGTGGTGTGGGTGAAGGACCTGTTGTGGAAATTGGCCATGTGCTGCCTGTAAGAATGGCATTGTAAGTACAGTACTGTACCGCAATTCAGTAACATGTAATGAGTGTGAAAAGTGGATACAAAGAGTTGCAGTGGTGTAAATGGCAGACTATGGGATGTTGCTGACTTTAAGTGTGCTGGAAAAGCTGCGAGAGACTGTGCACCTTAGAGTGTTGTCACCAGATACAGTACCAAGCATGGAAAGTGGCTGTAAAAAGATGATGATGAATGGTAGTTTTCCTAGAGGTTCAATGAAGGCTATTCAACATTGGTATAGGAGGAATTGAACTCTTAGCAGCAGTGGTGAGGGACAAATATGATACCACTGTACAACTGCTGACATAATAGCCATACAAATGACTCTTTATTAGGTGTTATTTGTATGATAAGGTTAGATAATTTTTAGAATCATTCTTTTTTATATTTAGGCAATAATTTTATCACCTAATAGGAATTACTGTTGTTATATTTAACAACTAAATCAGAATATGAGTACCGTATGTATAGTATTTGTAATTTGTAAGAATATCATCTGACAACCATGTCTTGCAGGTGTGTACTCAGCGTTGCTTAGATAGGGGTGCAGCAGGCTCAGGACGAGCTGATGACAATATGGAATCCCTAAAGAAGCGTTTTAACACCTATATGACTGCCACAATGCCCATCATCGAACACTATGAATCTTTGGATCTTGTACGGAAAATTGATGCCACCCAATCACCAGATGAGGTATTCGAAGAAGTTAAGAAACTCTTTACTTAAATCCAAGTTATGTCAAAACCCAAGTAAGAAGATTACCATACCAGCTAAACATAACACATTTAGTAGCTAAAAGACAGACATAGGGAGAATTTCAGACAAATTTTTAAGGACCTTGGAGCATGTAATTTTTTGTTGTTGTTCACCCAGGTAAGGTTATTCTGTATTTTTTACCTAAATGTTTGATGCATCAAACATTTGTTACCAGATATATTATTAATGTTTTAATACCAGATATATTATTAATGTTTTAATAAGTAACTGGGTGTTTTGAATGTTTAAACTTAGTGCCTCCTTTCGTGCATTGTAAAAGGCATGATGTTGCACAATATGACATTGATTTTGACATTATCATCCCAGTATCACACGACATCCCCCTTTACCTAAATTTTTACTATGATATGATTCATTAGCTTTTGGGCCCCAACTTATTCTTTAAAGCATTAACTCATGATCAGTCAGGCCTTAATTTACCAAGGATTATTTAATACTATGCAAGATGTGTGCACTCCCAATGGGAATACTCCACTCCTGACTTTACCACTTAGCATTGCCAATCCTCTCTCTCTCTCTTATGTGTCAAACTAATTCATTCACTGGTGAGCAGGAGGGAGAGTGAGGAGGTGTGTTGGGGTTGGTGTCTTTTTGTGGGGTGAGACGAAGTACTAAGTGGTGAAGAGGGAAAGATTACAGTGCAGAATAACACTTTGACAATAGGGGTTTTGTCAGCTAAGTGTAATAGTCTAGCACTAGCCAAATGAAAATACTGTACTATAGTTAGAATAGGCTGAGAGGGGGCATTTATTAGCAAATGGATTATGGATATGTTTGAATCTATATGAGATGGAACTTCCTCAGCTGAATAAAATCGTCTGGTGGTAGCCAGAATAAAGTAGATAAGAAGACATCATACTGAAAGGATTAATTATCAATCAAAAGAATCAGGAAGTGGGCACCACATATTTATTGTAATACTGTACAAACTTGATGTGAACAAAAGTACACAAGTTCAGTTGGCAGCAGTCAGGTATAGAATCAGCAAACCAGTTTAATTGTGCCAAGCAGTTAGGTTAAATGGGTAACGAATATTGACACTATTATTTTTATCAAATGAGCAATTTATGATGCAAAGCATTATAGCTGTTGCTTAAAGGTCTTAAAAGTAGTAAAGTTTTCTATGTTGTACACGAGAGGGAACCCTTGACTCCACCTGCCCTGCCTCCCCCACCCAACTCCTACTCTGGGTTGCTGTTAGTGGAATCACTGCAGACAATTTACAGGGTAGAATAATGTTGTATCCTCTCGTTTCGATGAGACAGTTATGATGAAAATACAAATACAAATGATACCCAGTATTTCAAGCAACGGTCACGACCTTATGAAGTAAAATAATTTTTGTTTCGTAATCCATTATCTGATAACTGTATCGCAAAGTCTGACTCACGGCAGGGTGAGCCGAGTATAGAATATAGAGAAAGCAGACAAGTAGTAAAAGGTACAATTAAATACTCAGAATGTATGGAAAAAGACATTTATTCTAAACAATTATGCAAACTTTCATTTACTGTATTTTGTCATTCTATTTCTTCTTTTGTCCTAAATTAAGTGATTTTAGATGTATATAAGGACCTAGGCTATGATATAGTGGGATTTTAAACATTGTTCTTCAAGTACGGTATGCACATAGCATGTGCTCTGACTTAATACAAATCCGACTTAAGAATCTCCTCAGGAACGGAACCCATTCGTAACCCTGGGACCATTCAAATTTCCGGTCTCCTGCCAGCTATGGATCCACTGATCGACCTGAGCACAGTGTGCTGCAAAATCCCCAGCCATTGAACAATGGCCTGGTTATTAAGGTCCTCTTTGTGGAGAATGGTGATGCGATCGCGTTGACTTAGAAGGTTGTGTTGATGGTTCATAACGATGAGTGTTGGAGGTCGAGAGTGACCATGTAATTCCTTGGGGCCACCATGTCACCTCGGTTAGAGGTGATTGGCTGTTCTATATTCTGTGATTGGCTCACGCTGACGTGAGCTGCCTCTGATCGTTGCTTGAAATACTGGGTATCACTCGTATTTGTATTTTCATCATAACTGTCTCATCGAAGTGAGAGGATACAACATTATTCTACCCTGTGAATTGTCTGCAGTGATTCCATTACCAGAGTAGGAATTGGGTGGTGGAAGCAGGGAGCATCTTTGTCCAAGGTTGCTATCGCATCCAGTGTATAATATAGAACTTTATTATTTAACATCTTTGAACAACAAATTGCACATTTAATAATGATAATAATGATGATAACAGTAATGTAATTTTTTATCCATTCAACCTCAGTTTGACACAACTGAAATGTATGGTTTGCCGAGTCTATACTGGACTGCTGCCAACTGAACTATTTTTGTTCACATCAAGTTTGTATTACAATAAATGTGGTGCCCACTTCCCGAATGTTTTGATTGATATATAATTAATCCCTTCAGTACAACGTCTTATCTAAATTTTAGCTACCACCAGAGGATTTTATTCGGGAAAGTTCCATCTCGTAGTCCATTTGCTCAGAAATGCCTGCTTACGCAAGGAACACCTTACCTAGAACATGTATTCATCCCCTCTCATCCTATTGTAAATTTAGTATTTTCATCTGGCTGGCATTATGCGATTACACTCAGTTGCAGAAGCCCTGTTGGTATTGTCAAAGTGTTATTCTGAAGTGTAATCTCTCCTAACTGATATACTTGTACACTTTCAGTCCTCACCCCCAGTATCCCCCCCCCCCACACACACACACACACAACAGAAAGAAAACCTACCCCAACACACCCAACACCTCCCTCCCGCTCACTAGCAAAAGCTTCAAATTTACACTTCAGAGCTCAGGGTTTATACGCCAGGGAGAGAGAGGATTGGCAATGCTGAGTGGTAAAGTCAGGAGTGGAGCCAAATGTACCTTATCTGCTAGGGTTGGAAGAGTGTCATGGAAAGTTAGCAATACAGGTATTATCTGAAAACTTTTAACTGTACACATTCACAGAAGCAACTCATTACACTTCCTATTTTAGATATTTCCCATTCAGTGCTAATGAACTAACACTCACTAATGCCTTCATGTTACACACACCACTAGCCTATGAGGATCCTTGAGAGAGCACATGACTTTTTTGTCAATATGGCAACTTGCAGAACTTCTGCTTAAAAAAAATTCTTTTACGTCCCAGACGAACACTAAGTGGAACTAGATTCTTAGTAATTTTCCTGTATCATATATCTGTTTACCTCTATTGGTTCAAAACTACTTGCTTTGAGTGTCTGTAGCTGGGGATGCCTTGCTGAGTAAAATTCGACAGTGACACTTGTCTGATCTTTCCCTGTACTGTTTATTTGTTAAAATAGATTTCTTCATCATGAAGAATGTTTCCCCATCACCAAAAATGTATGCTTTGGCTTACAATGTTCCCCATCTTGATGAAAGCAGACCATACACAATAGTATTATACATGTACAGTATATGTCACCACATCTCCATTAATTTTATTCATTCCTAAACTGTCAGATCATCATTTCGTTATATTGTAGCTATCACTGTTAATAAGTTTAAGGGCCTTTATTGTTAAACCTACATATTCATGTGTACTGTAATATGGACAAACCATGAACTTGACTTATCATGTCTCATTAAGAAATTATATAAATGTTTTGATCAAGAGTTGTTTATTGTTGTAAAGTTGTAGTAGAAATGAAAGAAGCGTTTCTGCAGCAGTTTGATGCAAGTCTTCAAGGTGACAAAGATTGACTGCATAGAAACTAGTTGCTTTTTCACAGCTTCTCTTGTGGCCTATACTAACTAGTACTGTACTGTAGTGCGTACATCTATGTACTTTGTTTTTGAGCTAATTTCCAAAAAGTGTTTTATGAAAGTCCTGTAAACCTTAAGTTTGTATATCTAACCTTATTTAGCTTCAGAATGGGTACATAACTGTGGAGTTGGGAAATGAAAGAGTGCAGTGCTGCCACACATTCTCCTTGTGTACCAAAGGTTTGGTGTACAGGGTGCTGTATCCACATTGCCCTTAATGGGCTGTCAGGTTCATGGGACCCACTTTCACTACTTGATTATGACCTCACATATACCAGTCAGGGAGATGGAATGAATTTTAAAATTTGCAATGAATTGTTTTCTGACCATTAAATGTGGAGAATTTGTTTCATGATTTTTTTTAGTTTAGTCATTAATGTTGGTATTTAGAATACAGGTAATAAGATATTGTTGTGTTTTTTTAACTTATTTATTCATGAGATTAGTACTATGTCATGATTTTGTTGAACATTTACAACTACAAGTTAATAAAGATGTTCCAAAATGATCATTGTATATTTGCTTTCTCCTAATGCCCTTATGTACACGTGCAACTGTGTAATTCAATATGATTTTTGTCATTGGTTTCTTGATATTATAAATTACCAACATCATTGGCTCATACATACAGTATACTCCTCTACTTTACTGTATAACTTGAATGCTCACGTGAATGCCAATTTTAATATGTGTATGGATAAGTGGTCCCTCGGTTAACAAACACAATTCGTTCCAGAAGATCGTTCGTTAACCGAAAATTTTGTTTCAATGGGATTTTGGGTAACTGGAGGGAAATATCATGTGTGGAAGCCTGGTTGCGACAAAAGCAACCCAGGCTGGTCTATTGCACCTATGTGGTTAAACAAGTCACGCTTACCAGTTCTCCTTGCCGCGACAACCGTCTACAGTGACTGTCAGTGACGCGAGACTGTGTGTGGTAACTCAAGAGTACCTTTTTGTTATTTCCCATGAAAGAAGTGAAGCCTGGTTGCAACAAGAGCAATCCAAGCTGGCAGTAAAAGTATCACTTGAATAATTAGGACTGTTAAGTCATACCCAAGTTGAAAATTCCTTCTTTTAGAAGATTAATTTTATCACAGCGTGAACGTGAGTGACTCATATGTCCATGCAAGTTGTAAATCATTGTATGGAAGCTTGACAAATAAATGTAACGGCAATTATCTGCCCGTATCTGTGATCCTATCTTATTATTACTAAAGGTAATGACTGATTGGTTATGACAAAGTATAACCAATAACTTAGATGGATGTTGGAAATTAATGGAACTCATTAAATCATTAATCAAGTATAAATCATGGAATGTCGAGTGAACTTCTATGTAGATACACCAAAATCTCTTGTAAGTAACTAGTGTGAAGGTATCGAACTCTACGGTAAGAAATATAATTAACACAATATATTATACCTGGTGCGTCTGGAGAGTAGCTGCTGCATTTCCACTGGAGCTCGGGATAAGGAGTCCGCAATCAGGTTGTCCACCCCCTTTATGTGCCGGACTTGTAGATTATAGGGCTGGGCGAGGAGAGCCCAGCGGAGGATTTTCTGGTTGGAGGTCTTGTTGGTTTGGATGAACGTGAGCAGGTTATGGTCGGTGAAGACTAGGGTGGTTTGTGGGCGAGATTGGAGGTAACATTCAAACTTCTTTATTGCCAACACCAGAGCCAGGGCCTCCTTTTCTATGGTCGAGTAGTTGGTCTTATGTTTTTTCAACTTGGCGGAATAGTATGCCACAGGGTGAAGGACATCAGTGGTTGGGTCTGCATAGACCTAGTATCTCGGCGTAGCTGGCTGTACGCTGATTGGCTGATAGGCGCGCGGCCGGAGCTCAGTTGGGAGTTGTAGGGGAGAGGAGCCACTACAGTACACTGAGCCTATCTGAGTAGATTAAATCAGGGGTTTTCAAACTATGGGTCCCGACCCTTCAGTGGGTCGCGAAATAAATAAATTGGGTCGCAAAATAAAAATGGGTCGCGAAAATAAATAAGAAAAAAATATAAAATGGGTCACGAAAATAAATAAGAAAATAAAAATAAATGCACCATAATTTAGGCTTGGTTATTGTAATGTACACTCCACAGTCTAGGAAGCAACTGCAAGGAGAGCATTTCCTGATTCTTTCTTTACCTCTCATGTCATCCGTTTTGCGCAGAAAAACTCATAATCGTAGTTTTTTCCCCCGTAATCTAACCTAAGCTAACCTAACTTAACCTAACTTATCCTAACCTACCAATAATAATCATAACATTAATAATAATGATAAAAGTTAATGAGAGAGCCTTATTGGCATCATATCATATTGCATATCGTGTAGCGAAAGAGAAACTGCTGCACACATTAGCTGAAAAGGTTATTCTTCCTTCATGTTTGGATGTTGTGCGTACTATGCTTGATAAGAATTCTGCCGAAAAATTAGCAGTAGTACCTGTCAGTGACAATACAATATCACGCAGAATCTGTTCAATTGCAAAGCATTTAGAAGAAATGCTTGTAGTGGACGTCTCCCCTACAAACTAACTGCGTAGCAGCCCACCACCTGCCATCACATTCCAATGTGCCGCCTTCCCTAGCAACCAACCAGATGTTACCGTATCTTAGCAACGAAACTATTCACCGGCTACTTCTCGGGTTTTCCCACCATGACTCATAGCAGCTGCTGCTGGGTATATAAGCTCTGTCTCTCCATTGAGATTCAGTCTGACCAATCTTCTTGAACAAGCAACACCTCCTCCTCTGCCGCTGCCTGGCGACCCTCGCTTCTCCTCCGCCTGCCTGGCAGTCCTCGCTCCCGCCAGCGAGCATGTCCTCCTCTGAGCTTCCTCACCAACCAACTTTCATTCTGCCCATTTTCCTGAACAAGCAACATCTCCTCCAGCAAGCTCCACACTGTTAACATTTCATTCAACCAGGAGGCCAGCAACAGGCAACATCTTCTCTAACGAAGCTCCTGCACATCTACCTCCCTCAACAAGCTACTCACCGCACGTCTCTACCAAGCTGCTCCCCACCACACGGCATCTCCAGCACCAGACTGTCTATCATATAACTTATATATATTATATAAGAAAACCACATTAGAGTTTCCTTCCATCCTGAGTGCTAGACAACATTAATATCTCAATACCCCTACAATGGTGACCCCGGAGTGACCGAGGAAATCGATGGCCGGGGTTCCAAAGACGCACTTAGCAGGATGAACTTTCATGTTGTTGTTCTGCAGGCGTTGGAGAAGGAGTTGTAGGTGGTGGTGGTGGTGCTCGGCAGGCGTCGAAGATGCGACGAGGATGTCGTCAATGTAGACGGTGACAAAATCGAGGTCGCGAAGCATATGGTCCATGAACCTCTGGAAAGTCTGTGCTGCATTGCGTAAGCCAAAACTCATGAAAGTGTACTCGAAGAGTCCGAACGGAGTGGTGATGGCTGTCTTCTGGGTATCTGCCGGCGCTACTGGGATCTGGTGGAAGGCACGCTCCAAGTCGATCTTCGAGAAGATAGTCTTGCCATGAAGTTTGTGGTGAAAGTCCTGGACATGCGGAATAGGGTACCTGTCAGGTTTGGTGACGAGATTCAGGGCTCTGTAGTCGCCACACACCCTCCACTCGCCGGGTGTTCGCTTAGGAACCATGTGAAGAGGCGATGCCCAGGGACTCCTTGAAGGGCGAATGATGCCGTCTTGCAGTAGTTTGTTGAATTCTGCTTTGGCTGTGTACAGGAGCTCAGGGCGCAGGCGGCGAGGGCGTGAAAAGACTGGTGGTCCTTTGGTTTCGATGTGGTGGAAAATTCCCGACGTAGGTGGTGGGGGTAGGGAGACTCGGGGTGAGAAAAGCTCCTTGAATTCGTCGAGCAGGGAGGAGAACTCGTTGGAAGGCGCAAGACAGGTGATAGCGTCCGTGTGTCTGGCACGAGAACCCTGGATCTTGCGTGCTGTAGGCTCATGAATGAGGCATAGATGACTTGGTTTGACGCCGAGCTTGTGGAAGGTGAGGAAGTCGAAACCAAGGATGGGTTGAGACACGTCTGCTATCACGAATAACCAACGCAGAGCCTTGGGCAGACCGAGGTCTAAGGCGAGGGTGCGTACGCCGTAGGAGGCGATGGAGGTACCGTTGGCAGCGAACAGGTCATACGAGGGTTGCTTTGACTTGTCTCGTAGTGAGGGAGGGATGAGTTAAATTTGACTTTTGTAAATAATTAATTTTTGAAAAATTATGTACATTTGACGACAGTTTAACTACATGTTGTTTAGTGGTAGATGGATATTGTATGTTTAACATTCATTCTACATAAATGCCAACTTTAAACATGTTGCAGGTGACAGCTGATGTATGTGAAGGCCAATGGAGAAGTGACAGAACCTTGAGCAACATTTAACACCCAGCATGTTACTTCAGCCTCATCAGTTAAGTTACTTATATATATCTTGGCTATTATGGTCATCCCATAAACTACTCAACACCGTGCTTCTACACTCGGCAGTGGAGGGTGTGTGGGGGGCATCTCCAGCACCAGACTGTCTATCATATAACTTATATATATTATATAAGAAAACCACATTAGAGTTTCCTTCCATCCTGAGTGCTAGACAACATTAATATCTCGATACCCCTACAATGGTGACTCCCGGAGATAAGCACTCACACAGGATGGAGGACGAACGGATCTCTCTGCCGATTTTCAACCACAACGTCGAGGACTGGCTCGACCATGTGGAAGCAGCCCTCGCCGGTTCACGAGCTACCGACGGACAAAAGTATTGCGCCCTGCTTTGTGCCTTACCCACGGAAGTGGCCACGCGGGTCTCACAAACCATTTCCAACCCTCCAGATCACAACAAATTCGCTACCCTGCGGGCTGCCTTGAAGACGTGTTATCAACAGACCAGCCCCAATCTCCTGCAAGATCTATCCTCTACCTCCCTCGGGAACTCAACCCCGGGACGTCTATGGGAGGAGATGTGTCGGCTGAACTCCCGTCACACAGACAGACTCCCCGACTCTATCCTGCGCCAGCTTCACGCACAAAAGCTACCCACAGAAGTACGCAACATCCTGTCCACAGTAGATTACTCTACGACAACGGAACTATATGCAACCGCGGCAGATAGAATTTTTAACGAATGCGCTGCTGCACCCCTTGCCGCCACGGTCACACCAGTACCTACCATCGAACTTGTAAGCCGGGTCAACACCCCTCAGCCGAGCAATACCTCACAAGACATCAAGGACCTGTTGCAAATTTTGAACCGCAGGATGGACACCATTGAGCAGTTCTGCTCCTCCATACCCGCTGCTGCGCCGGTTCCTGACTCACACACTACGCCCTACAAGTTCCGACACACAGCAGCCAACCCCCAGCACAACAAATTTACCCTCTGCTGGTATCACCAGACTTTCGGCCGCTATGCTCGAAACTGTGAGCCCTATTGCACCTATTCGGGAAACGGCAACACCGGAGGCTGGTAGACGCCTCGGCCTCCGTCCCTCCAGGCGT